CGCGAAATTCAAAAACAAACAAACAAAGCCGATAATGCAGTGGCACCTTTCGGTAATGATGAAGTATCTGTATTGTTCTTATTGTATTAAAATGTTATGTTTTTTAAATTTCAGGATAGTGGAATTCTTATCAGACTAACATTTTTAGTGTTTTAAATTTTTTAAAGAATAATTATCTAAAATTGTTTAAGATATTCAAAGTGTTGATGAAAGTATTAAATTATCATGCATTTTGTAAAAAAACAGATTTGATTTTTATAAGCTTTCAAAGTATATTAGGGCTCTCGACTAGCAATATGTGGGGTTGTGGGTTTGAATCCCATCACAGAACACGCTCGCCCTTTCAGCGCTATGATGTGATGGTCAATCCAACAATTCGATTACAGTAGCCCAAGAGTTGGCAATGGGTTTTGTTGACTAGCAGTCTTCTCTCTAGACTGCCCCCCAGTGGCACAGTGGGATTGTCTGTGGATTTATACTGCTAGAACCGGGTTTCGATAACCATGGTGGGAAGAGCACAGATAGCTCTTTGTGCTGCTTTGTGCTTAATAACAAACAACGACAAGAACTCTCTAGGCTATCACTTTAAACAAGGAATGGCTAGCGCAGAAAGACCTCGAGTATCTGCGAAATTCAACAAAGTATGTTAAATGATGGCCTGAAATACTTGCAATGCTTACAACCCTCCATTACGTGTTTCGTACATTCAAATTCAAGTCATTATAAAAACATAAATACAAAAATATTTTTCATGTATTGCACTAGTTTCCTTTGCTTCCTTGAGAACATTATTAGGGTAAAAATAAAAAGATCGTTTTCTGGTGATAGCAACTGTGCAAAAATAATTTAGTGATGTGTTTATTTTTTCTTGTTAACAAAACAATAATCACCCTATATCAAATGCACCTTCCATTAGTACTGTCTATGAAAGCTAATGTACTAGTGACATTATATCGAATTCCCGAGTACTTTGGTTCAAAATGATTTTGTTTTAGTTGATCTTCAGTCACCAAACCGTCTCCATATATTTTAAGTTCGGTAGTACTTAATAGTAGAGACCGACGAGGATTTCAAATAATTCACGCACCGAAAAACCACTATATCGAATTCCTAATCGAAAAACCGACAATTCAAAGTATTGATTACGATATATTATGCGCATATATATTAATAATACGTTAAAAAGGTTGCTAACATTTCCGGTGTAACAATTGAAAAATTTCTAAAACAGAAATATTCAAGTCTAATACCTACCTACCTGATCACGGACTATCGCTACAAGATTTCTCCAGCTTACTTAACTGGTTTGTGGGTCTCCGCTTTTGATATCGCGATAAATATATATATATTTTTTTATAAATGGTAAACATGTCATTCACGTACTTAAATGTATTTTCAACCCCAAACCAATGGGTGGCGTTACATATCGATGGATAGTTTATTTGTTTGTTTGAAGTTAAGCACAAAGCTACACAATGAGCTATCTGTCCTCTGCCCACCACGGGTATCGAAACCCGGATTCTAGCGTTGTAAGTCCGCAGACATACCGCTGTGCCACTGGGGGGCTCGATGGATAGACATGAGACAGTTTCTAAAAGTAAAATATAAATACTTTATACAGGTTTAACCTAAAAAATAAACAAACAAGAGTTTTAAAAATAATTAATTTAAAAAAAAGTAGGGATCCTGTTATAAAACGCAATGACACAATAATTAAAACCACAATTATAAATTTATAAAATTTAATCCCCACTTTGGCAGCTTTATACACTTATCTGTAGGCCAAAGTAAGGATTAAGTTTTATAAATTTATTATTGTATTTTTAATTTTTGTTTTATTACTTTTTATAGCAGGATTCCTACTTAATTTTAAAATGTTTAATATTTTTATACTCTTGTTAGATATATATACAGAGCACAGACTTTCCGGTTAATACTTAATGTAATTAATCTGAAACAAAATACCGATGAGGAATTTTTGGAGAGGCGAGTGCGACCACCAGAAAACAATCACCTTCTTTTTTGTACTTGTTATAGTTCTCACTCACGTAGCTAAGGTACTTCTCACTCACGTAGCTAAGATACTTACAAAGTTCCTCTTCTACCAGTGAATAGTTGTACTTGTTATAGTTCTCCCTCACGTAGCTAAGATACTTACAAAGTTCCTCTTCTACCAGTGAATAGTTGTACTTGTTATAGTTCTCCCTCACGTAGCTAAGATACTTACAAAGTTCCTCTTCTACCAGTGAATAGTTGTACTTGTTATAGTTCTCACTCACGTAGCTAAGATACTTACAAAGTTCCTCTTCTACCAGTGAATAGTTGTACTTTTTATAGTTCTAACTCACGTAGCTAAGATACTTACAAAGTTCCTCTTCTACCAGTGAATAGGCCCAAGTTGAAGATACGACTACGAATGAAAAGGATAACATTTAAGAACTGTGCAGGAATCAAGAACACCGAAAAACAAAAATTTACAAAGTTATGAAATCTATATATCAGTGTGAAAATAAAAGAATCTGTTTAAATAAATTACACACACAAAATATGTATTTTATCTGAATTAAATTTGGTATTATTATCACTCGTTATGAAAACAGTTACAAAATGGCATGACAAAATAGATCAGGGATAGTTAACTTTGAGGTAGTAGAGAACCAATACATTCACAAGAAAACTTTGATGGACATTCATTCATTCTAAATGGTTGAACACCATTTGCTTCGGAATGAGGCTTTCTATCGCAGAAATAGCCTAGACGTTTCCTCTAGATTAACAGAAACTTGTCAACACGAACTTTATAGCCCATGAGCTAATCAAAATAGCAAACACCATATTTTGGACTTTTTTCTCACTAATCATTCATATATTTCACTTTTAAAACATCAAATAATATATTAAGCTCAGTATTTCATTATTTCTCGGTACGAAAAAAGTGCTTAAATACATTAGATTTTCTTATAAACTTTTGAATGCAGTACTGTAATGAAGCATTTTGGTCGAGTGGTATATACCACTACTGGTAGTTTTGGGATGCACTCTATTAACAGACTAAAGACTATTATATGGCAGGCCACAAACTGCCTATCCCTGACCCAAACTCTTCAGAATGTACACACACACACACACATATATATAATTATATATATTATTTAAAATAAAATATGTTTGGTGTATTTTTTGCTAAATTAAATTTTATATTTTGATTTTTTCCCACAAAAACAGTACGCTAACAGATTCAATGTCTCATTTTTAACTTAAATTGTGATTAAATTCTGGTTTTAAATCAGTCAGAGTAACAAATAATACCAATTTGAAATATCAAAAGCAGTGCTAATGATCATCTCATGAGTAGAGATATATACCAACCAAGTTATTGATTATTGTTAATTACTTTAAAAGCTGAGATGTTCGAGTTTCACTTGCTCATATTTGAGAAAAAACAGTGCATTCGAACCAATGTTGTAGTTAAGACCTTTAAAGTGAATATTAAAATTATCGTTAAATATTATAAAACATGGGGATAGAATTAGAAATAAAATAAAAATATTTTGACTTTCTTTTTCAAGCTATTCTATCTAGTATATATTAAGTATATACTAGCAACACCTTTGTTGAGCAAGATAATTTCAATCATCATTGACATTTTTTTAGCTTTTCAACTAAACAGATGATGATGGACAACAGAACAATTAATTTGAACTTTTATTTGTTTCGCTGCATCTCCTGGTGGTTTGAGTGCTCGACTCGTAAGCTGCGGGTCGTGGTTTAGAATCCCGTGATAGAACATGTTCGTCCTTTCAGCAGTGGGGGGCGTTATAACATTACGGTCCATCGCACATTTTGTTAGTAAAAAAGTTGACCAAGAGTTGGCGTTGAATGGTGCTGATTAGTTGCTTTCTACCTAGTTTATCACATCTAAATTAAGGACAGCTAGAGTATATATCCCTCAAGCATTTTGCTCGAAGTTCAACAAGCAGACAAATCAACACTGCGCTACTTTAGAAAGCAATATGTTAAGGCGAGTACCAAGTAAAATCCATGAGCGAAACGACAACTACAATAAATGTAGTTTAGAATAATTCTACGGCTAGCACCGATTTAAAATAATCTCGTTCTAAAAACGATAAGCATTTGTTGAAATTAGTTAAGGTTTCATAGCTTTCATTTGTATTTTTATGATTTTTATTGCTTCTCTTTTAACTCTAGCAATAATTGTGATTCTATTTTCCTTGTCTCTTCCCAGTGCTCCTGGCTTTCTTTTGAGAACGTTTGTATAATTTCATGTTAGCATATTTGTAGCATTTTATATGTAATTTAAGAAACAAATAGGATTGTGTTATATGTTATTGTTGTTTTGCAATTCTTCGCTAAATTTCAATAAGGTATCAGGAAACAAATGTTGATATTGACACAATCTATAGTGATACACTCATGCTATTTTAAAAGTCTATAATAGCGGTTAGATACCATAATTAATATTTTCTTATATGTAAAGCGATAATTACTTCCCTCTCAAAGATACTGACAAAAAAACAAAAACGATCAGGGTAGTTGTTGACGCTTGTGGTAACAGAGACCCTACTTTGTTCAGTATATTATATATTGTTTTTAGTGCAGTTAATTTGGATGTTTACTTCATCCATACGGGTCATTCAAATCCAATTTTATTTAAATGATACTCTACACTGTCACTATAACTTAAAGGAAGATTGAAAAAGCAAAGAAAAATAAAGATAATTTCTTCTTTCGACTACCGAAAGGGTAGATTGGTCTCTTTAATTAATTAATTCTTATCGTTAATTATTCCAAAATACGTAGAATAGAATGAAACTAGTAGAATTAATTTATATTATCAGTAATAATTATGAAACTTATTATAACTCCTATTATGTATATTATCATGTTTCACAATAGAATATTTCTCACGGAATATTGACGCCAACTCGAACTGGGCCTTCGGCATCTCTCTTCTGACGAATATGATATGAAGTAGGATGTGCTGTCGCCATAACAATCAGACAAACAAGTGTTGTGGCAAGTAGCATTCTTTTGACCATTGTCGTGTCGTTCTATTTTCAAATGGATAGTTCAATCACCTGAGAGTCAAAGAAAAAACGTTTTAAATAATGTTTTGTAAGTCTAACATGTAACGTCTTCCAATAAAACTAATAAACAAAGCTAGATCGTATGTCAGAAATAATAAAACTGCAAATTGTTATAATTTCTGTGTTATTTTATCCTATCAAATTTTATTAATGAAACTAAAAAAACTAAAATTAAAAAATCATATATTATTACTTACGTTTGGTAACACAAGCATTGTGAAAATCTCATAAAGTGAAAACATGAACTATTTTCAAGGTACATTTTTATGCAAAGCCGATAAAAGACTTAAGCAGTTTTGTTTGTTTTAGTGGACTCTGAACTTCTTGTAAGCACCTGGAATTGTTTGACTTGGGAGAATAAGTGTGAGTGCACATTGCTCTATCTCCTGTGTCCACTGCAGGGAAGCGAACCCCTCTGTCCCATCAGGGAACTGCTTAATCAATATAAGCGACCAATTACAGCGCTATATCCAAAGGGATACCAGCCAGCCTCTGTGTTTTCATTGGTGACAGAGCTTGTTTTATTAAAAAAAAAACTCAACTGACTGAACGAAAAGAATTGACGAGGAATGTTTTCGTCAATTGGATAGTAGGTCTGCTAATGACATGTGAAGCACCATCGTTAACTGGAACTATCTTCATTAGATTGTACGACTCACATGACAAAGTTAATTCAAATGACGCAATCTGTAAGTATAAATAAAAAACCGAGGATGGAATTTTAACGTACCGTTTTCAAATTTATGAAAGAAAAAAATTGTGGTTGTTTTTGAAGTTATTTTTCTTGTTCAAAAATTAATAATTAGGCTTGTTTGTTTTTGTACTGTATTATCAGCCTAGAATAACTCGGTTATGTGACAATAAAGATTTGTTGTTGTTGTTTTTACCAAACATCTAGTTTGGTTTCCTGGACTTTGAACTTCTTGTAACCACCTGGAGTTGTTTGACTTGGGATAATACGTGTGAGTGCACTATGCGCCAGTGTTGAAAATCCCAGTTATTCTCTTTTTCGAGTTTTTCCCGCCGTTTTGAGTATCAGATAATTTGTAACTTGACATACTTGATAAAACCATTATGATTGAGTATCTGAAAATTTGTAACTTGACATACTTGATAAAACCATTATGATTGAGTATCTGAAAATTTGTAACTTGACATACTTGATAGTTTAGAGTATCTTAAGAACTCTCACTCAGAATGATATAACTGACAGCAGCAAAGAAGAATCAGAGCACGGAAAGAAACGCTTGTTTTTCAGTTAAAACCACATTTTTCAATATCATGTGTAAAAGAGAATCAAAATGGCAGATGAAAATAATTTTGAACACTTAATCAAGGTTGTAATATTTTGCTCATTTAATAAAGCTGTAACATTTTTATTCAGCTGTTACTTCTAAAGCTAAATTACACCATATGCAAATTTATAACATGGACATGAGTAGATTCTGCGAACAAAGCTTAGATTATAGTTCAAGGCTCGTTTCAAGATTATGACAAACTCTTTGGTTTAGCAAAAATATTCTACGTAGTTTTAGTGTTTCATGTATGTCCATTCAGATCCCTAGGACCTGGTGTGACCTAGTAGTGAGCATGTCGAGCTGCAGATTGATTAACCATTGTTTGAGACATGATACAAATGAATATGCTCCGCACGTACAGGTGTGGATGTATTATAAAAGTGACAGTCAACTGCATTATTCGGTTCAAAGAACTGGAAAAGGCCCTTGTAGAGGTGGGTGTTGCTAGCTGGTTGCCTTTCTCTGTAGTCAGCAGTTTAAAGTTAGGGATGGCAACACCTGAAACTTAGGGGTTTTGCCCAGGAGAGCATAAGGTATCATTTAAGTTCAAGAATCCAGTTGTATGAAGCCCATTGTTTAGCGTCAGAACTATGTTTAATTCCGCACACTTAAAGCTGTTTTATGAACTAATTGTAGTCAAATGTTTCACCATTTTCGAAAAAATTTAATCACAAGTTAATGATCTCGGTATGGGCGTCCTTTTTTCTTTATTCGGTAAAGTATAGACAATATTTATTTTATGTTTGGTTGAAAAATCTGTAAATGGGCGCAGAATTGGTTGCTAAAGAGTACCTTTACTTGCATGAACAAGTAAAAATGAAATGGTTAGCATCCACGTAGTTCAGAGCGGCACTTGAAGAGAAAAAAGTATTGAAGACTAATGTACAAAAGTAGTTCAGGTATAAGGGTCGTCTTTTCTACCTGAGCTAATTTTTTAGATTAGTCCTCGAAGAAATCGGCTATCTGAAGTTTTAAATTTAACCATTTCAGGAAAAAAAAAGAAGGTTGAAATGTCAAAATTTATAGAAAAAAAAACACACACAGTAGTGCAGGAATTTAAATGCCACTGATCATATGCTTTTAAACAAAACTATGAACTCTATAAGATCTGTATAATTTTGCCTCCAATCTGAGTTGGAAAAAAAAATAAGCCTCATTTCTAAGTGTTTTGATCTCAGCTGTAATTTTACAATATATATAGTAAAAACTCTTATAAAGAACTAAAAAACTGAGAGAAAAGATTTTTTGACGTACAATTCCGCTCAGTTTGGAAAAAGTATCCTAAAACTATACCCGCTAATACCATCTTCATTGTAGGAATTATATAATTTTAGGATATGAACAAATCATCAAAATACAAGATATCCTCAGTAACAAACACAACATAGGAATAAAAACAACATTCATTCGTAAACTAGGATAAAAAAAAGTTAAGGTTAACTGCATAGGCCTTAAGAAAACAGAGAATACATTGACAAATCAGCATATCAGTATATTTCACATATCACTTGAGACAGTAGCTTAACTCTACATGATTCAAATGCAAATTTATACCAATCTGGAAACAAAATATTCTTGTAACTTACACAACTGATTCAAAATTATTCTTAACACATAACAGAAGAACATGTGTCAAACGAAGGAAAATGCGGAAGTTACCTGAGGACTTAGATATCTAATTACTTCTTGGAGCTGAAGTAAAGTCAAAATTGTTAAACTTTTGTAGGAAGCCAATTTCTCTGTGACGGTTGATTGCACGTCTAACATTAGCCAAACAAAGCAACTATCATTCACAATTCAGGACGTTGAAAAGTTTAACCCTGACATCAAAGTTTCAAAGTCTTTTTTTTTCTGACTTTGCGGAACAATAGGTTGTACAATATGTGAGTTCAATACGCAGAAAAGTATGTGTGGATATAGTGTCGTTGTCTGACATTTTACATTAGCTTATATCTGTGGTTTAGTGAATGTACTACAGATGTAATATAAATATTTTAGGAACACGCGCAAGGTTTCATAGTGAATTCACTGTTTGTAACACAAGAATCGTCTCTGGACGACAAAGGCAAATTATAAAATAATGGGAGATAACACTCGTAGTGAGGTACATAGTCTGTACATTCAGTTGAAGTAATGGAATTTTCTAGTTGCTCTTTTTGTTTGGCTCAAAACTTATTAATATCATTGTAACAAGTACAATGATGGAATAAAAATATATTAAAATTCTCAAGTTGCTCAACTCCCCAACTTTTCGTACAAACATCTCGTAAAGTTTTAAAAGATCATTTCCAGTGAATTGGCAGAGAAGTTTAGACTATCACCTGAAATCAAAGCCAATGAAATACAAAGCTCTACTTTAAAACAAACGTTTTGATTAAAAACTTCATTGTGTGATATGCAGGCATATCACATAATTTCTACCTGTTTTTTTCATAGGAGTTTTAAAATTTTCGTTCATTCTGTTTCTATGCAGTTTCGGCATAATCTCATGTGATCCAGAAAAACATTAATATTATTTCGTTCTAGTTACCTTTGTTTCTTTGTTGTTTTCTCTCTATATATACATATATCGTTTCATCTTCTAAACCTATTTTAATGTATTATTGCCATTATGTGTTTAAAGGGTTTACTTTCAACTTCTTTGAAAATATTATTGTATACTGCATTTTAATTTAATGTTCAATTGTAGCAAAGTGTTTTCTTTTAGTATTGTTGTATCTGTGTATAGTTCTTTCTTAAGGGTTGTGCCATCCATGTATCATGCAATTGTTCATAGGGTTGCAATAGCTAACTGTTTTTAAAGTTAACTTGAATTGGTGGCTTGAGGCCAAGTCTGAAACAAAGGAGAAAGAAAATGTGTTATATGTAGGCATATCTACACACTTTTATTAATACAAGAATATTTAAAAAATCGTTTAGTATATTTTTGTGCAGTTTGGCATTATATATATATAA